CGTTCCTTTTGCTGATGGATCTTCTCCAGAATTACAGGATGCCTCTACTATGCCACCTGCACTACGCCACTACTAACGTATTGTCGTCATCCAAAAGTTTCTGTTCCTCTGCTCCAGCCGAACAGTCATCTCCCGTTGCAAGTCTACCTCCTTCTAATCTTTCTGCTCTAGATATTCCAATTGTTCATCGGAAAGGTAAACGGTCTTGTACTAATCATCTTTTATCTGATTTTGTTTCCTATGACCGTCTTTCTCCCTCTTCTCGTCAGTTTGTTTTGTCTTTGTCCTCTATATCTCTACTCAGGTCATATGAGGAGGTCGTGTTAGTTCCTGCTTGGAAACAGGCCATGGATGAGGAGATGGATGCACTTGTTTCTAGAGGGACTTGGGATCTTGTACCTTTTCCTACGGGTGCTACGATGGTTGGCTGTCGATGGGTTTATACCTTGAAGTATCGCACAGATGGTTCAGTTGATCTCTATAAAGCTCGTCTTGTTGCTAAGGGTTATACTCAAACCTATGGGGTCGACTATCTTGAGACATTCTCTCCCGTTACCTGTCTCAATTCTATTCGCCTACTTTTCTCTATGGCTATTAATCTGGACTGAACCATGTTTCAGCTGGATGTTAAAAATACCTTCTTGTATGGTGACTTGCAGGAGGAAGTCTATATGGAACAACCTCCGGGGTATGTTGCTCATGGGGAGAATAATGTATGTAGGCTTAAAAAGGTGATTTATGGTCTCAAACAGATTCCACGGGTATGGTTTGAGAAATTCAGTACTGCTATATCTGGTGTCGGTTTTAAAATGTCAGTCTGATCACTTAGTCTTCATCTGATGCACTAAATCTGGTTTGATGATTCTGACAGTATATGTTGATGACATCCTACTAACTGGGAGTGACCTTGCTGTCTTAGCAGAGACTAAGAAGTACCTTTCACGTTACTTTGTGATCAAAGATATGAAAAAACTCAAATACTTTCTTGGGATTGAGATTACATATCAAAAGGACTGTTTGCTTCTATTTCAAAGGAAATATGTATTGGACTTGTTAGAAGAAATGGGTCTTTTGGGGTGTAAGCCAGCAAGCACTCCAATGTGTTGGGTCCTTTTGTTTTGATGATGATTTACATACAATTTATATCTAATATTGTTTGTCTAGTGTTTATATTTTGTATCTATTCTAGGTAAATAATAAGTTGGAGGATGGATGGAATCGAACAATCACAATCATATCCAATAGAGGTTGGCGGAATATCGGTATGAAGCAATGCAATTCAAGTCAAGATCCAAGTTCAAGCTTCATCCGCAAGTTTACCAAGAAGAGCTCATTGAATACCTTCTTCAAGTTTGGGTATATAGTTTATAGTGTTTGTAGTATAGGTTTATACTTGTGTGTTAATACTTTAAACTCATATTAATCACACACACGTATTTATTGATTTTATCAAAATATAGGTGTTTTTGATAAAATATTATTTTATTAGTTTATAGATTTCAATATCACTTTATACATAGTTTATCAAGTCTATAAAAACATTTAACAAAGTTTCAAAAGTTTGTTAAGTCAAAAGTCAAAAACATGTATGTTTAGTTTTTATGTTTTTGAACATATTTGAAAAATGAAGTTTTCATATTTAGGAGGTAATTTTTGAAAACCAATTTTTGTAACATGTTTATTATCATGTCTACAATCATTTTTTAAAGTTTTATATTTTTTGAAATTTGTTTGCTATTTTTAAAAATAGTTTAAAAATCAGATTTTTGCTTTAAACAGGCTGTATACTTGTTATCAGTCGACCAATCAGTCGACTGATGAAAGTACCTACAGTTGCCAAAAGTTTGTTTTGTTAGAAGAAATAGGTCTTTTGGGATGTAAGCCAGCAAGCACTCCAATGGAGGTGAATATGGATCTATGGCATGATAATAGTCCTCTCCTAGATGATGCAGGTCAATATAGGAGAATGATTGGAAAGTTGATCTATCTTACTGTGACCAGGCCTGATATTACCTTTGCAGTGGGAGTACTGAGCAGATTTATGCATAAACCTAGAGAGGTTCATTGGACTACTGCTCTTAAGGATTTTAGCTTTATGTTAAAAGCTGTCCTGGAAAAGGATTATTGTATAAGAAACATGAACATTTACACATCTCTGCCTTTTCTGATGCTGGGTATGCAGGAGACATAGGAGATAGGAAATCTACTTTTGGATTTTGCACCTTTATTGGAAGAAATCTGGTTACTAGGAGGAGCAAGAAACAAGATGTAGTTTCTCGATCTAGTGCAGAGGCAGAATACAGAGCTATGGCTCACACTGCATGTGAGATGATATGGTTGTAGAAGTTGTTGACAGAGCTTGGTTTTACTCAGCCTGGACCTATACCTATGCATTGTGATAACCAGTCTGTTATCTATATTGCAAAGAATCCAGTATTTCATGAGAGAACTAAGCACATTGTAGTTGATTGTAATTTTGTTAGAGATGCTTGGGAAAATAAAGTGATCTCTTTTCAGTTCACTCCGTCTGCAGAATAGTTAGCTGACATTCTCACTAAAACTACGTCACCTAAGGTGTTTTTCATTCTATATAACAAGTTGGGCATGGTTGATATATATGCTCTAGCTTGAGGGGGAGTGTTAGAATTAGTATTTGGACTATCGGGTTAGGGCCCATTAACCAATTAGCCTATTACTCATATGTACTCCTATATAAACCCTTGTGAATGAATGAAAAGGCAGACTCTCTGATTTTTCTCACTCTCAACAGTTATTATTAAGCATAAGGTAACGGATTATTGCTCGATATGCATGCTACATGCATATCAGGTGACTAAGCCAAGTGGTGGAAGCTATAAGGATTGTCAAGCTAAGACCAAGGATTGAACAAATGAACAATATTCAATTAGATAAGACCAAACACTCAAAGTACACAGTGTCAGGTAATGCAACGGGTGCCTCTGAGTTTCCTATCTATGTCAGTAAAGTTTTGAAGAAGGATTCTGAAATCAATGATTAATTATACTATAAATTTGAAATTCAAATAAGAACTTGGACTAGAACTCTTTCTTATGGTTTTAATTCATAGAAACATGTTGCATTAAGATTTTCAAATTCTATTATCTAGAGATCCTTTTGTATAGATTTCAAACAAACTTTTATTTATATACTTTTATTTATATATTAAGGTAAATTTTCTATTCCTCAAGACTTCCAGATTTTGATTATTACCTCTTATGATGATATACTAAACTTTTTTATAAGGAGAAGAATCCGTTCAAACAATCTTCCCATGTCTCCTATTGTAATTTTATATTATTCTCAAGGCTAGGGTTTTTAACAAGGTATACTGAACATCCTATCTCCTCATGCAACCGTGTTACATACAGTACAGTGATGCATTTAACAATGTATATTGAATTGCCTATATTCTTGTATAACAATGTTAGATCCTAAAGCTTAGTGGTGGTTGTAGAAACATTAACCAAATTATGCAAATTGATCGATCAAACCTCATCCAATCGAGTCTATTAATCAATATTTCAGAAAGCGCTAGGCAGTTTTGGGGAGTCGGAAACAACACCTAGTGCCCAAGGCACATAGATGTCTTTTGCACCGAGAGGAAGTATTTTTTTTTCAATGATTCAAAAACTTATCCTCACTGTTTTATCTGAGACGTACTCGGATCGAGTTCTAGTCCGACCCATTTTTAATCTGACCTGTTTTCTTCACCTACTGATATGCTTAAAGAGTAATAAATCACTTTTTGATGAGACGATTCCAAGTTAGCAGCTCATAATCGCCTAGGCGCTCTCAAGAATTAAACAGGTAGTCGAGGTACCGCGCAGGCGGGCAACCAGACTGCTTTTTAAAATAATGCTATTGATAAGATCCGCACCACCAAACCCATGTAATCCATTTAGACACAATTGAGGTTGTGTAGACTGTATCCAGGAATGAAAAGGGAAGCTACTGTAATGTGGGAATACTTAAAAGATTAAAGAAAGAAAGATAGTCTACAATAAAAATACGAAAAAGAAAAGGTCATTTAGCTAATTGAATGATTACTAAAGGAATTAATAAATTAAAATATTTATAAAAGAGAAAAATAAATATCAACATAAAAGGTGAATATAACACATAGAATTTGCATACATAAAACTGAGGGCTCTAAAGAGATCTACAGAAGTTGCTGCTAAATCTGGTTCTCTAGAAAATGATAAAAACAATTGTTTACATCTAAAAATTTTGAGGTGTAACAAAATAATGCTAACCTCCGGAAGTAAAGACATTCTTTAGCTCAATCTCAGGATGCATGAAGTAACTCTTAACTCAAATTCCTGCACTGGAGTCTATCTGGTGGATCAACACAAATTTAACTAGCAAACCGAACCAGGTATAGCTAATCAAACTATATTATACAAATGCAGACACAACTATTAGCAATATTAGAATGAATTTTAACGAAAAAACATGACATATATTTTTCAAGGAATCAGTTTAACTTGAAGCTTTATTTGGTATATAAATCATGTAGCATCCTCGTGCATTGCGTAGACGCATGTATGTATAAACGTGACATTTAAATTTTTACGAAATCTTGCATGGGAGACCAAGATTAAGAACTACAATACTATGAATAAGAACATGATGAGGGTACTGCTTTCAGGTGTTTTTGTCAAATGTACTGATCGGTCAAGAAAACAACACCGCAAATAATATTAAGTAAAACCTCAAAGTACCCACTTTGCATGCAAAACTTTTGTGTGAATGGACTCTTTAAGTTGTGATCGATCTACAGAGAATCCATGGACACTAGAATTTTTTTGTTATTGAAATTCTCATTTGCTACATAACCAACTTGTTATCTGAATCAGTATTTTCAATTATGATATATTTTTGCAAGGTTGATCTGATGCATAGAACTTAGCTACCAGGTTGAGAATTCAATGGGTTGACAACTGCAATTGCCATCTTAAAAAAGAACTGAATATACAAACCTAAACAATTAATGCGGACATCATCATGCTGCGTTTTATGCAGAGCTTCAAGTGATAGACGTAGAAGCTGAAGCTTCAGTCCAGTGAACGAGGAATCATCTCCCTCATTATTGTCACAATTAGCATCTTCCCACGGTGTTGCGTGGATATCAGAGAGCTTAAAGAGCACAAACAAGACCTCACCTCGTATCTCTTCACTGTTTGGAGATTAGAATCATCATGACAGTGTCAACATTTTATTCTTAATCAATAGCTAAGTTCAAAGTTGCAGAGATTTTTCACACCTCGGAAGCCGAAGGCCAGCTACGAGGTTAGAGAAAAGAGATGTTTTGCCTCTAATATGAGATGTTGGATCACCATCGCGTTGAGAATCTAAAAGGATGCCCAGGCAATGCAGCTGCATTGAGATGGAAAGCATGAGTATCTAAGTGTTTAATACAAGAGGTTTAGTAGGAAAAGGCAAAAGGTTTGGGCATACCACTCTTTTAATTTGCAAATTGACAATGTCAGGTTATACTTAGCATTAAATTATCCCCAACGAACAGTCGTATGATTTATTTACTAACGCTAAATTCCTTTGTGACAACTCATAATTATAGAGGAAATTAGTGACAAATGAAAAATGGTTGTTATTTAATTGAAAATGATGACGGTGTTATTTGAGTTTGCAGGTGATTATTCATAACTTTTAACGAGTTTCTAATTTTTTAAAGAGAATGGTGGAGCTCACTGATATCCGAGGTCAACCACATTGGTCACCACCCGGGTGGCAGGGCCCCTCCTTGTCCACCTTGATGCCGAGCCTTGGAGGTCGACCGCCTCAACGACTAACAAATTGTTTATTGTCATGTCTTTTCCTTCTCCCTCGGACCCTCTCCTCGTGATTATTTTGCTACCTCCAAAAACCCCTCTAATTTAGGATGACTTTGGCTTCAAAATTCAACTACCACAAATAAATAGCTGAAGAAAAAGAGAGAAAAGATATTGAAATTTATTTTAGCAAGAAAGTTGACTTTAGTATCAAGTTTGATTGGAACGTCATCTATAAAAAGACAAATTACACATTAAGAATTTTAATAAATTTAGGAATATTTCTACAATCTATGAGAGTTTTTGTGTTAGCATGATTAGAATTTTGGCTAAATGGCCTTAAATACCCTATTGTTTCACTACCTTCATACGTAAATACCCTAAGTTGTAAAACCTAGCACTCAAATGCCCTAGACAGTCAGTTTGGATACAAAGGAGGAGAGGGGACAAGGTGACTGAGATAAACCCAAAGGGAGGGGGTGGAAATTGAAGGGGTGGGATATGCTTAATTGTGTTTGGATGGACAACAAGGAGATATATGGGTACACTATAATATGTGTTTAGTTAGAGGAAAGGATGGAAATGTGAGGGAAGCTTACTTGACCAATGTCGCCCTTTTAAAGAAATTACAAACAATTTTATTAATTATGAGTTTTGGTTTTCTCATAGCGCAATATTG